AGGGATCCACGTCTCCATGCACTCTCACCAGCCTGTCCTGTGCCAGCACCCCTGGCTATCTGCACTTGGGAGGGAGCGCCTGCTAATGCCAGCTTGTGCTGCTTGCAGCCTTTGGCACCACAGGCTTGATGCTCTTTGGGTTTCTCTGCTCCCCACATGTTTCACGGCCCCCCTGGCTCCTCCTGCGCTCTGCCCCAGTTGTGCTCCCCACAACTGCACCGGGTGCCCTGCTCACCTCCAGGCTCTGCCCCTGCTTTGGAGGCCTGCCCTGCCCCTTCTGCACTGGGCCCCCCGGGCAAGTCCTCTGCAGCTCCAGCTTCACAGGCTCTGCTCCAGGAGGTTTCTGCTCAGCGCTGCTCGGGGTCCCAGCACCTGCGGGCGGGGAAGAGCGCACAGGGCAGCGCTGGGGCTGCGGGCACGGGGAAAGCCCTGCTTGTCTCCTGCACTGGCCTGGCACTAAGGCAGACGGAGGCTTCGGTGTGTAGAAGAGGGGGGAGAAGGTAGACTCCACGTCCCACAGCTCTTGCTAAGGGCATGAGGCTGGAGATGAGCCCCAGTAACTCTGTACCAGCCCGGGGTGGTCATCACAACACCATGTCAGAGCCAGCAGCGACACAGCTCCCTGGGAAAAAGCTTGAGGGAAGTTCATGCACATGCTAAGGACAAGGGAGGAGAAATGCAAGGTCAGTGCTCTCCAGGGCATGGAGAATTCTTCCAGAACTGCTGGGAGAACAAGAGCTGCTGGTCTGCTGGAGCAGTGACTGGAGCAACATGTTCTGGCAGAGACTTCTGCACGGAGGGACGGTGCCTCCTGCTTCTGGACAGGGTCGAGCCACCGCTCCGTACCTGCCCCTGGGGAAGGACCTGGCCTGGGGCACCAGCCCGAGGAGCTTTTGTCTGCTGAGAGCTCCCAGGTCTCCTCGGGTTCAGGGGAATCCGCAACAGGACAGAGCCCTGGCTTAGCTGTACCTGACACAACCAAGGCCACTGGGGAAGGACATTTACCTGTCACCTGCACCAGCCCCTTACTGGGCAGAGAGGCCTCAGAGGGACATGAGAAAGGGACAGGGGCAAGTCAACAGTGAATACAGGCACGTGAATAAGGTCATTGATTGGTACCATGACAGCACAACAAGGCCAAAGACACAGCCTCTCTGTGCTGCGAGCTGCTCACCTGCAGCGAGACGGATCAGAGCCCAGCCTGGGAGCTGCCCAGCCGCAGGGATCAGAGCCCAGCCCGTGGTTACCAACATTGCAGTCCGTCCCGGCTGGGGCAGACGATGGAGCCTCTCCCCCTGCATGCAGCACAGCCACGCCGGCAGCTGGACCCAAGCCCCGCCTGGACCCACGCCCGGCCCTTACACCTGGTCCCTCACCTGAGTCCGGGGGGGGCAGGGGCTCCTCTCTGGGGACAGGAGGTGGCTTGTTCCAACGCCTTGGGGTGTCCCTCTCTCCTGACTCTGCCACAGGCCTGTCTGCACGATGGGCCTTGGGTTGCTCCAGCCAGGAATCACCAGGGTCCTGCAGTGCCGCAGTGGACGGCATCTTGTGTGAGGACACCTCCTCAACCTTCACACTCACTGCGACCTGGGGACGAGATCAGTGTCACTGGGGAGCTGGGACGTGGGTGAGACGGGGCTGGGAGGGAACACGAACATCCCCCAAGCACACGGGCTTCTTGTCCTGCTCCTGCCCTGGCTGAAACCCCTCAGCCAGGGCCACGGCCTCAGCACAGGTTTCCCCCACGCCCAGCTCTGCGTCCCTGGAGCAGTGACGCCAGGTCTGTGGGGTGGGGGTCGTGCCCCGGGGCCAACTGGGTGGTCTCTGAGGGGATCTCGGCCTGAGGAGGGGGCTGCACGGTCTGCCTCACCTCCTGACCCGCATCTCC